TGTTTTTTTTTATTTTATTTTATTTTTTCCAGTCATTTCAGTTTTATATAAGCTTTTTGAATTACTTGAAAATGGGACAAAAAATTGATGGTAGTGTTGTACATGTGCACATGCATGAACCTGGTCTAAGTGGTCTTCCCCCCCCTCCAAAAAAAAAAGAAGTGACTTTACATTGGGGAATCATTTCAATTCATGCATCCTACTAGCTGGAGGATGGACTAACTCAAACTTGTCTGGCAGATCGGACTAGAAGCACATTACTTGATTGGCCAAAACGCTTCAACATTATTAATGGAATTTCTCGGGGGATTCTCTATCTTCACCAAGATTCTAGACTTAGAATTATTCATAGAGATCTCAAAGCTAGCAATATTTTGCTAGATATCGACATGAATCCAAAAATATCAGACTTTGGAATTGCTAGAAAGTTTCATTGGAAATGAGACAGAAGCTAATACAAACAGAGTAGTTGGAACATAGTAAGAATCTCTAACATGTTTTGTAAAGTTCATTTACATTGCTTCAAAATCTGATTGCAATTGTTCATTCATTGCTTTGCTGTAGTGGCTACATGTCTCCCGAGTATGCAGTAGATGGTTTATTTTCAATAAAATCGGATGTATTTAGCTTTGGAGTTTTGGTACTAGAGATAGTGAGTGGGAAGAGAAACAGAGATTTCTTTCATCATCACCTCAACCTCCTTGGGCATGTAAGTGTTAAGTTTAGAAGTACTTTTATATACAGTGTAAGTGTTTCGAATTAGTACTACTAATATTGCAATGAATTGTTCAGGCATGGAGACTCTATAATGAAAACAGGTCATTGGAATTGATTGATGAGCCTCAAAGGGACTCGTGCTACCTAACCGAAGTGCTGCGATCAATCCATGTGGGTCTTTTATGTGTGCAACAACGTCCAGAGGATAGGCCAACCATGTCATCTGTGGTTCTTATGTTGGGTGGTGAAGGTGCGTTACCTCAGCCTAGAAAGCCTGGTTTTTTTGCTGAAAGGAATCTACTTGAAACTGGCTGTTCGTTAAGCAAGGATGCAACAACTTAGGCCAATGAAATAACCATTACTCCGTTAAATGCTCGATAGGGGAAATGAAGAGAATTTAAAACAATAAACCGTGTTCTGCTATACTATTTATCGTGTAGAAGTTTATAAGTGTGTAGATAAATATATGATCTACATATATTTATCATTTGAGCTGAATGTGCTATCCTTCCAAATCTGTTTGATTGACTTTCTATAACTGATTTCAAGCATGTTATATAACTGATGTCCTCAATCAGTTCTGTCATATGCAAAACCATTACTTGATTTTTTTCCTTCACATTGGTTTTCCATCTTAAGTCTAAAGGCACTCTCTAAAATAAATTTTAATCTCAGTTGTTAATTGAATTGATCAGTTAACAATGTATTTGGTTAAGCCTTTTGCTCCAATGGAAGCAGGGCCAGCCTTTAGGCAAAGACGAGCAATGCCGCTGTCTAGGGTCCATTGAAAGGGTCCCAAAATATTGACCCTCGTATTAAATCAAAAAAATAAAGTAAAATAACTTATTAATTTTACTTATTAGGTCACAAATAGAATAATAATACTAATAACACGGGAAAGTCTATAGTACATTTTGTTTAAAAAATGTATGGTACATCGAAAATCAATGGCTCAGATTGAGCCACATCATTAAAAGTGACCTGGTAAGCAGGTCACTTTTTGTAGTTATGAGCCAAAATCATATTTGTTCATAACTAGAATCAAATTAATCATAACTTAGTTATGAGCTCTCATCACTTATCTCATAACCATATCTCATAACGAGCACCATTTTGTTGATAACCAATATCACATATTTCATAACTGCAATCACATATCTCATAACTACATCTCATAACCAATATCCTTTAGCTCATAATCACACCACTCTGATCATAACCACTATCACATATCTTATAACTATTAATCACATATCTCATAACTACTACTCATATAGCTCATAACCACATCTTATAACCAATCTTCCTTTGACTCATAACCAACATTACATATCTCATAATCAACACCCTTTTGCTCATAACCACATCACTTTGATCATAACCAATATCACATATCTTATAACTAATAACTACATATCTCATAACCAAACACCCTTTTGACTCATAACTACGTCACTTTGCTCATAACCAAATTACATATCTCATAATCAACAATCATATATCTCATAACCATTACCCACATATCTCATAACCAACACTCTTTGGCTCATAACTAACATCACATATATCATAACTACTAATCACATATCTCATAACACCCTTTGGCTCATAGTCACACCACTTTGATCATAATTAACATCACATATCTCATAACCATTAGTCATATATCTCATAATCAATACTCTTTGGCTCATAACCATACCACTTTATTTATAACCACTAATCACATATCTCATAACCAACATTCTTTGGCTCATAACCACACCACTTTACTCATAACCACTAATCACATATCTCATAACCAACATTCTTTGGCTCATAACCACACCACTTACTCATAACCACTAATCACATATCTCATAACCACATTTCATAACCAACACCTTTTGGCTCGTAACCATACCATTTTGATCATAACCACCATCACATATCTCATAACCACATCTTATAACTAACATCATTTTCACCCATAACCCCTAACTTTGATCATAACCAACTCAAAACCACTAACCACATATCTCTATTTTAGATTTATTTACTAAATACAATAAAAAGGGTAATATACAAACAATATACATTTTAAAATATTTATATACACATAGACATACATATAAATAATTTGACTAAATTTTAATAAAAAATGTGTTGAAAAATTTTATCTACGATTCACTACAAGAAAAGTGGGCTTATGAGACGGAACCTTTTGCGACGGCACAACTTGCCGTCTCAAGCAAAAAATGTGACTTTTTGAGACGGCATAACTTGCTGTCGCCAAAAATGTAACTTTTTGAGACGGCACAACTTGTCGTCGCAAAAAATAAAGTATTTGTGACGGCAGAAATTGCTGTCGTAAAAAAAATAGAGTTTTTGCGACGGTACCAGCTGCAGTTGCAAAAAAAAAAGAAGAGTTTTTTGCGATTGTAATACGTACCGTTGCAAAAAAAAAATATATATATATATATATATATTGTGGCTTTGAGACGGCTTCATATATATATAGTCATAAATTTGTTTAAATAAATGCAACAATATTTTTTTTACAAAAAAATAAAATAAAAACAACGTCGTCTTACTCTTTTGAACATTTCTCTTTTCACCCATTTTTTCATCTTTCTATTTCTCTTCTCTCTCTCTCTTGCACTCATCACTCTTCTTTATCTCTCTATGTCTCTGTCTCTCTTCTCTTTCTTCCTCTCACTCATCACTCTTCTCTGTCTGTCTGTCTCTCTCTCTTTCTCTCTGTGTCTCTCGTCCATCTTTCTTTTCTTTATCTCTCTCATCTCTCTTCTCTTTATCTCTCTCGCTTATCTCTCTCTATCTCTCTCTCGTTTATCTCTTTTTGCTTTTTCTCTCTCACTCTCTCTCTTTGTCTATATCTTTTCATCCATTTTTTTATCTCCATCTTTCTCTTCTCTTTCTCTCTCTCTCTTACTCATTACTCTTCTATCTCTATTTGTTTGTCTATTTGTCTCTCTCTCTCTCTGTGTCTCTCACTCATCTATCTCTTCTCTCATCTCTTTTCTCTTTCTGTCTCTTTCGTTCATCTCTCTTCTCTTTATCTCTCTCGTCCATCTCTCTTCTCTCAATCTCTTTCATCTCTCATCTTTCTCTGTCTCTCTCGCTCATCTCTCTATCTTTCTCTCTATCTTTCTCATTGTCTCTCTCGTTCATCTCTCTTCTCTCTATCTCTCTCTGTTTCTCTCGTCTATCTCTCTTCTCTCTCTGTCTCTTTTCTGTCTCACACTCTCTATCTCTATCTCTATCTCTTTCTTTTTTTCTCCCTCTCTCTTCTCCCACTATGTTTGCGTTGCTCACTTTCTCTCTCCCGTCTTCTCTATTTACTGAGCTCCCTCTTGATTTATCGATCCACTACAAGAAAATGCACTTTTAGCGACCACTTTGTCTCTCTCTCGTTCATTACTCTGTCTCTCTTTCTCTCTCTCTCTCTCTCTCTCTCTCCTTTATCTGTCTCTCATTCATCTCTCTCACACCACCCATCTCCTCTACCACCTTCACCACTACTGCAAATGCCATTCCACCACCACCGCTACTTCCACTGTCGCCACTTCACCTCTACGACTACCATGACTACTACCATTGCCACCACTCCACTACCACCACCACTACTACTACTATTACCTCTCATCCACCGCCGCCACTCCATCTCTCATACCACTACCATAACTTCATCACTAATCTCCTTCGCCATCACCACCACCACCACCACCACCACCACCTCTTATCCATCACTTTCACCACTACTGTCGCTCCCTTTCCTCTACTACAAAAAATTTGTTTGGTTATGGTTTTTTAATAGAGTGTTGAATTGAGTTTTGAATTGTATGTGGAATTGAGTTTTGAAAGTTTGATGTGACATGTAAAATAAAAAAATTTGTGTGGTGATGAGTTTTCAAAATAGTTTTCAAAACTTAATTCAACATATAATTGATAATCAAACACACAACTCATAACTCGATATCCGTATTTTTGATCAACAGTCATAACCAAACTATTTTTAAAATACTCAAATAAAAAATTATATTTTTTTTCAATTAATTGTTTTTAAGTAATTTTTTTTAATATTTTTTTTTCAAATCATTTTTTTTTTCAAACAACTTCTATGTCAATTATTTTCTGTCAATTAATGTTTTTGTCAATTAATTTTTTAAGCCTGTATAAACATTAAAAATATTAAAAATATTAAAATATTTAAAAAATTAAATATTAAAAATATTCTGAAAATCTAAACCTAACAAAACCTCAAATTCTCCCTTGTTTTTTCCCCGTCTTTCCCCCTTTTTTTTCATTTCCTTTCAAGTTGGAGCCCTAACTTTCGAAACAACACTGTCTCTCTCTCTCTCACGGAGGCGACGACGAGCGGCGATAGTGGTGGCTAGTGACGATCGGCGATCGGCGACAATGGCGGCGAGCAGCGATCGAATCATCGATTCGAAGGTATTCTTCTTTTCTCTTCTATTCTCTTCTTCTCTGCTCTTCTCTTCTCTTCTCTTCTCTTCATTGCTCTATGAGATTTGGACCTCTCTCTCTCTGTTTTTGATTTGGACCTCTCTTCTCTTCTCTTCGTTGCTCTATGACATCGGGAAGTGAAGGTGAAGAAGATGTGAGATGGCTTGACAGTGGTCTGCAGGAGGCTATGGATAATTTGATCGAGTGTTGTGAAAATTTGAAAACTAAAACAAGAGATGTTATGAAAATCACAGAATCTATTAAAATGTAAATCAAATTAGAAAAATTGATGTTAGTCAATTTAATTTTGATGAAGTGTTGTGGTGATGTTGAATTAGATGGACAAGGCATCCATAATCAAAGATGCAATTGACTACCTCCAAGAATTGCATGAGCAAGAGAGGAGGATCCAAGCTGATTTAATACAGCTTGAATCTGGAAAATTGAAGAAAAATGCAGTTTTTGACTTGGATCAAGAGATTCCAACCTTGTCAAGACTCAAGAAAAAGGGAATTGATCATAGTTATGATTCAAGGAGATCAACCACTTCTTCCATTGAAGATCTTGAAGTAAGTCTTTGATTAAGATTTGATTAATAATTGTTTAGTTTCTGGATAATTTTGTTTTGGTTAGTTAATTTGTTCATAATTTATACTATTTTAAAAAAATCAATAGAGGGATAAATTGGACATGTACATATGTATCAGTGATGTGATGTGTAGTTGAAATTCAATATTAAAAATCTTAAAAGTGATTTTTTGTACCTGGCCATTAAATATTAGTTACACAACACATCACTTATTCTAAAATTACTTTAATAAAAAAAAAAATCACTCTAAAGGATCCATACTAAAATTTTATATCAGAACTTATCCAAAAAATTTAGAAATGGGATTGTCTCCAACCAATTAGAGCATCTAGTCTGGCCTACTGTCATCCCATTTTAGATACAATTTGACAATCCGATATCTAATCAAATTAAATTTTAGTATAAATGATATGTTCGAAAGGTTTGATCTCAATCTGAATTTGGATTTCATTAGTTATAGGACGTTTTGATCTGGGCAATTACATGAAGATATTTTGGAAAGGCAAAAAAAATGTGACATCTACCTCAATTTTGGCCTTCCCTTTTAGGTATAAATATGTATATAGAAAGGAAATCGAAATAGAGAAAGACTCAAACAATTGCAAGAGCCATGCACATGTTATTTTAGAATGGTCAGTTGAACCCTAGAAGGTGCAGAGGCTCTGGCACTATGTGCTGCCCCATTTTGGTTGAATTTCTTTGATTTATCTGAAATTTGTGAATTGAACTTGACTCTTCTTCTTCTTCTACTACTTCTTCTTCTTCTTCTTCTTTCTTTCTTTTTATTTATTTTTTATTATTGAATGAGGATGCATTAAAATTTTTATCAATTGGAAAGTAGTGTTCCTTAATTCAATTTTTATTGACTCAATTGCAATTTTTTTTTTTAAATTTACACACGCATCGCGTGTGCCTTAACCACTATATCAATTGGAAAGTAGTGTTCCTTAATTCAATTTTTATTGACTCAATCGCAATTTTTTTTTTTAAATTTACACACGTATCGCGTGTGCCTTAACCGCTAGTATTTATTTATTTATTCTTGTGAACTTCTGTTAATTTTCAAGTTTTGCTTGTGAAAATTCTTTGACTGAAATATGAATTTCTTTGTGGTTCAAATTTTATTCTTTGGGTTTGGTTTTATTACAAATCTATGACATAAGAATGGGTTTCTATGAATAGATATGTTATGTTATTATTTGGCTTTATATATTTGGTAGCTTAGCATTATTAGTCCTATTTTGTTCTTAGTTAGTTAATTTTAAATTTTAAGTTGTTATGGGATAGTTTTTAAAATTTTCACTATGTGTACATACTTTTAGTCCTATTTTTCATCCTTTTTGGCCTAGCAATAAATAAGTAAATAAAACTTCAATTTACACCTGTCAAATGAATTTCAGTTTATTTATTAGTTGAGTTTTATAGGCATGGCAGCATGGGCTAGATTTACGCTAATTGGTAGGCTCCTATTGATTGTGATACATGCTGCTGATTGTGATTTTGAGCAAGTCTTCATGAAGGGGGAATTTTTTTCTTACTTCTTATTTTAGCTCATTTTTAGTATTAATAACTGTTTGTTTACTTTTTAACAAACCATTAATAATTGCTTGTTTACTTTGGTTATTTGCACAACTACCGCGCACCTAAATAGTAAATACAGAGTCTCTAACAAGGTAGCCCACTTAAAAGAGTATTTTCTGAACTGATTACAACCATGTCAATTAAAATTCTAAACTAATTCTCTGCAGATTATTGCTCCTATCAAATAAATTAATCGTTACAAACAACTCTGCACTCAGTTCTGATACAAATTCAAGAAGACGTACATTCAATATAAAAATTTCAAGTTCTAAACTTTACTTTAACAACGAGATTCTTATTTTATTTTTTATTTTTAGTCTCTGCATTCAAAGAAAAAACAAGAATTAATTTAAAATAGTATAGATTATCATATATGAATGATAAACCTGCATTTGATATTTTAGAACTTAGTTACAACTGGGATCTACCATTTACGTGGAATTTTCCCACAAAGAACTTCAATGTAGGTAAAGTTTTTAAAAGAATTGATATTCTACATGATTTATCTCTACTAATTACTTCATGCTATAATTTCTTTTAATAATTTATATACATGGTTATAGATGAAGAAAACTAGGTTTGCTCTGAGTTCTAACTGGATCAGAAAAACATTGTGCCAAAGTTTCAACTTGAATCAATCCATGTTTTCTTTTTTCTTCCTCCCCCTTACTCTTCATCTTCCATTCTAATTCAAATAAGAAATGGAAAAGCTCTATCAAAAAAGGTAACCCCCACCCACACATCTTCCCAAAACCGAATATGAAGCCCATTACCCACTTTCATAGACAAGAAAGGAGACACTATAGGATATAAATGAGAGATGGACTTCCAAGGAGACCGACAATTGCCTCTCCTAACCACATTTGAATCTCTACCATTGTCCTAAACACCATACTTGTTTTTAATGATGGAGCACCATAATGACTCGCTTTCACTAGGGAACCTCCACAACCATTTGCTCAAGAGTCTAATATTCCTCGCAACAATATTCCCGATAGCAAGACCCCCTTTCTCCCTAGGGAGAGAAACCACCTCCCACTTAACTAAGTGATCCTTCTTATCTTCATTACACCCTTCCCAAAGAAAGTCTCGCACCAACTTCCCGACTTTCTTTGCAATCCTTACTAGAATCGTAAACAAAGACGAGTAGATAGGGATGCAACTCAGCAGTGATTGTACCAAAATGTATATCCCCCCTTAGACAACAACGCTCTCTTCCAGCCATCTATTCTTTTCCCAATCTCGACAAGTACAGATTCCAAAAAGAATCCGCTAGAGGATCCCCTCCTAAAGGCAAACTCAGATATTTAAGAGGGAACTCCTCAATGGGGCAACCTAAAAAATGAAATATTGCTCAGTTGACTTTGTTGATCGATTATATATCAATCATTCACCTTGACCAGCAGAAGTTTGGAGTTTTTAACTTCCTCCAATTTCTTTAATTAAAATTCTTACTCAATATATAGATAATACATACACAAAGATGAAAAGTTATTTATTATTATTATTTCAAATATTGAAGATCTCTAATATTCGCAAACTAGTCAGATTGCTTTGAGAAATTTCAATTGAGAATCTTAAAGTTTTGGTAACTATATATACGTTTCACTTTTATTTCTCAGAAAGTTCAAAATGCTCTGTAATTTCAGTGGAAGTACGAACCCATTGGATGGAATGTTGTTGCTCCTGGATGTCATTGCAGTACTCAAGAAGCTTAAAAAATCTTATTCTCAACACTATTTTTTTTCAAAATTTTGTTTGTTGATAAGAAAATAACGGCATGAACAGCACAGATTATCTAATAATTGAAGAAAGTAACAAGTAATATACAAAGAAACTTACAGAGCTATAATCCAAATGCTTGATGGCACAGATAAAATCATCTGGAAGAACATTTTCAGGTAACAATTCCTGTGTTAGAAAAGCATAAGAAATCCAATTAAAACAGAAAGTTGACAATGTCATAGCAAAACATGAATACGCTTCTACAAGTCAAATAATAGTGGTAGGGAATATTACCATAAAAGTTTTGTAAGGGGTTGCATTTGACAAAACAACTGAAGAATGCACCTTTGTCCCATCAGCCAATATAACCTAAATGATTCCACCCAGGTTCCTAATATCTAAATTACTTTTTCGAAGCTCGAAAATCCATTTCATTGAAGAAATCCAGATAATGAAACTAACCCCATTTACAGCTCCAGAGTCCTCAATCATCAATCTTGAAACCTAAATAACAAAAAACATCCTCATAGGTAGCAAGATAATAGATTAGACATGACCAAACTAGCAAAAAGGTAAATAATTTATTATTTCTTGAAAAAAGAAGAGGAAAAGGTATGATAAGAACTAAGGATGTATGTTTCCTAGCTTATTAATTTCATTGCGAATTACGAAAATGGTTAATCAGATGAACCATATTTCTCTCAAATTTGGCATTTAAACTATTTTTCTGTTTCAATTATAAAATGAAGAGCATTTGAAACAAATACTTCACTCGAGAAATTTCAAAAAACAAAACAAATACAAAAAACAAGTACCAATCTAAATACTAAAGTTTTGTGGAGTTGCATGTGGATCAGAAGCTTAGTGACCATGGATACTACAGAAAACTATCGCCAAAAGGCAGATGAGCTTTCTCTATGAATCTCATCCAATATAATAGAGCAATCAATCACCAATCTAACAATTGCAAAGCAATCAGACAATAAAATTACTTACAAAAACTCTCTGTATAACATATCAAATCCAACTGTTGATCAGATCAAGAGGGCAACAATTCAAATATAACTTTCGATTACAGCACCACAGGAAAATGTATACTTAAGGAGCTTCAAAATCTGAATATAAACTAGTTTACAACTCAAATGAAATCTAACAAATTTGTTTTTTTGCAACCACCATATATATATATATATATTTTCATTTATTAGCAAATGAAATCTAAGAAAAAAATATATGAAAGACAATACATGAATTTTTTTAATTTTCTGAAAAATGTACCTGAGATAAAGAGCAAGATAGATCTGATCTGATTCAAACTCGATTTCGGATTTGCGATTTGCAAACTCAAGATGGGACCTAATAGCGAGAGAGATTGAGTTCGAGTTCGATTAGCCTTGAGATCGATGAAGAACAGAGATCGTTGCGATTGATGAAGAACAACTAGAACAAACCCATGGTGGAGATGTCCAGAGAGTGAGAGCTTGCGAAGAAGATGTCGACATGGCTGAAGCCCGGATCGCCGACGAGGCTGGTGGCCCTTGGAAGCTTCAGCTATGGCGGAAGAGAAGAGGGAGGAGAAGAGCCAACAACATGGCCAAACACGACTGATTGAATTTTGTTTCCCCTTCTAACCGGTGTAGCCGGTTGCCTATTTGAGAGTTAAATTATTTAAGTAATTTAGTTATGACCTAGTTATGAGATAATATGGTATAAATAAGTAACTGAATATAACTAAGTTATGACTCAATATGGTAGTGATCATGACTAATATGATGTTGGTTATGACATAAAATCATATAAGTTCATAACTAAATGTATGGTACATCTAAATGTACCATAGCATCACCCCCCAATTAGTGGATTCTTGATGTCTGTTATAATCTGCGATTGTGTTTTTTTCATAATTACATAGGTGAAGCTCATAGTAAATAGTGATTTTACATACATTACATTGGTGAAGTTTCTGTACACACATGAATATTGAGATTTGTGATTTTCTTTCACATACATACTGGTGAAGTTCAAAGTAAACGGTTAATTTTCGTAGACACATATGGTATGGATTATTTGTTACTGTCTCAAATGGATTCTCTGTGTTTTGTTTTTTGAGTTAGTAAAACAAGCCTTGATGTGCAGAGCTTCAATGTGAGCAAGTTGAATGGTTCATAATTCAGTGGATTTGCTAGTTGCATGTTTTACTGATGCCTTTTCTTCCAACAATTTTAAAATATATATATATATTTTAACCTGTAAGGAAGCAAAACAGCTGAAAATAACTCCCAATTAGTAAACTCTTGATGCCTCTGTCATCTGGGATTGTGATTTTCATAATCACATTGGTGAATTTCAAAGTAAATAGTGATTTTACTTGCATACATTGGTGAAGTTATGTAAACATAGATATTGAGATTTGTGATTTTCATTCACATGCATTGGTCTTTGAACCACTGTTAAAATGGATTGAAAAATGCTATAGACCCCAAATTTTCTATCAAATAAATAACCAAATGCCCACATTTGGTCATTTATTTAGGCCAAGTTTGGCATGTCCAGGAAAAGCCAAAAAGGCAAAAAGTTACTCAAAAAGTTAAAAAGTTAACACTATTCACCAAAAGTCAACAATTACGGCTGCACAACTCCCAATCCTAATTTTCTCCTACAAACCAATTTTTACAATTTTTTATTACACATTTTTTCATAAAAAGTCAAAAAGTTAACCCAAACATTTATATTTTCTTCCTCAATTTTTTAATCCAAAAAGACAAAAAATGCACTTAGTTAGGACATCCCGAAAATTTACCATTACCCAAATGGATTTTGAAATAGTAAAAACAAGACTTAGGGTATGCCCTGTTTGTTTACCGAATATAAAAGCCGAATATGGGTGTGGGACCGGATATAATATGAGGTGGGTCTCACATGTTTTTTTGTTTTCCTATATCCCATGTTTGGTTGCTCCGGATATGGGGAGTCCGGATAGAAGAACCCAAAACAAACATTTGAACAAGTGGAATCAGCTTTGGCAAAATCAAAAGATGGTAGGCACACTACAACATATAAAAGTTTTAGAGACCAAATGTTTTGGTCTCTAAAAGTGAAAATTTTGTTGTAAAAGACATTTAAAGACCAATTTCCATCTTCATGAGGATAGTTGCTAAAAGGTCGTCCGGAAAAGTAAAAAATAAGGCATTTAGCGACAAAATTTTGAAAATGTCACTAATAAATAGACTTTTAGGGACAAAATAATTTGGTCTCAAAATGATTTATTTTTTGAGACAAAAAATTTGATCCCAAAAGGATAATAATTCATCACTAATGTCCAATTTTTGTTGCTAAAATTATAATGACGACACTTTTCCAACAAAATTATTTGGTCTCTAAAAAATAATTTTGTCCCTAAATTTTGGTTTCTAAAACCTTAATTTTTTGTAGTGACAATAACTTGAGAGAAGAAATCAACAGAAGTATCACAAATTTAAAACTAATGAGAAGGTGCATTATGTTCTTGTATACAGCTTGTTATTGAGGTGGTTGTTTGTAAGCAGCACGTCACCTATTTCTTAGTGCGATGGTTGCATGTAGGACACATGTTAATAGGTGGCTACATGCAAAACCATGTCACTTGCCATTGAATGTTTGCATGAACATCATGTGTCACTAGCTTGTTATGGAGTGGTTGCATTGTATGTCTACCACTAGTCCACTTCTTGTTATTTTGTAGTTTTTCTATTCCAAAGTACTTCATAAGGAAGTAACTTCCTTGGCTACTTATATATAGGGTTGTAATTACTCTTTTTAAGGATGTCTTTGAAGAACTGAAACTTAAGATTTTGAGATTTTATTTTAGCCTTACTTTGTTATTTCTTGTGGCTTGGTTTTGAGACCCACAGCTCGTGGAATTTGACCCTTACTTGCTAGATTTTGCATAAATCAATCCTAAAATTTGATTTTACAAAGTTTGAGAAAACTGCCCCCCACCCCCCAAAAGAGGAGTTTTTTCCAAGTTTGACCCTAGTCAAAGAAGTCAAAACACGCAGCACCAAAAGGGCCATACTTTTGGAGATCATAACTCAGAAATGTGGTTCTAAAAAAGCCTTTTCCATCCCCAACTCAGTTTCTTGGTAACTATGATTGAGACCACCACCATTTATATAAACATGTTTATTGTAATAACTCAACTAACCAATTGTCAAATAAGCCTAGAAATAAAATAGTCTACATAGATATTTTATATTTATTATATACATACCCCATGTATTCTAAGGATCTTTTTTTCTGTCAAAAAACTACAAAAATAACATCTTTCTCCAAGAAAGACAGTCCTGATATTGCATCCTTTGCCAGCAGTGGTAACCATAATGATCACATATTATCCTCAAGAGTTCAAGAATGCCTCCAGTAAAAAAACAAAAACAAAAACAAAAAAATTTGGTGGCATTGGATCAAATATACATTCACAATCCACATTACAAACTTCAACACTTTGAATGATACTACAGTTCAAGAAAAAAGCAAATATCGCAATCACAAAATTAAAAAGCTACATAAAAATATTGTTGTACTAAATGCCCATTATTAGCAAATATGGTGCTATTAACTTTATTTTATTGGCTGCAAATACGATGCTATTGTTAACAGGCAACAATCTTGTCAGATTTGCTTTTCCTATTTCTAATTAGATAACCAATCAATGTTTCAAATTAGATTTCAAATATAATTCTAAAAAGCTCATCTTTGAGAAAAAAACTAACGTCGATCATTTTTTATTTTTTACTTTTTTAAAAAGGTAAGGAAACAACAACTGTCATGCCATTTGAACTGCTCGTAGGTAGTAATTCAAAGCTGGGACAATGGAGTACATACACTAGTATGATCCGTAAAACAATGGAGTACCTACTGCACTACAATGCAGTCAAAATGAGTCATGACAATAACCAATTAGTGATCCCCAAGACAAAGGTAGCCTTTCTATAGTCACTGCAAAGACCCTTTCTCTAGTAATAACATGCATTGCAGTAATCAGCTACTTGGTCATATCATGGCAAACAATATGCTGCCAAGACCAACCATGATATTGCTCTCATTATTTGCACAACTACCGTGCACCTAAATAGTAAATACAGAGTCTCTAACAAGGTAGCCCACTTAAAAGAGTATTTTCTGAACTGATTACAACCATGTCAATTAAAATTCTAAACTAATTCTCTGTAGATTATTGCTCCTATCAAATAAATTAATCGTTACAAACAACTCTGCACTCAGTTCTGATACAAATTCAAGAAGACGTACATTCAATATAAAAATTTCAAGTTCTAAACTTTACTTTAACAACGAGATTCTTATTTTATTTTTTATTTTTAGTCTCTGCATTCAAAGAAAAAACAAGAATTAATTTAAAATAGTATAGATTATCATATATGAATGATAAACCTGCATTTGATATTTTAGAACTTAGTTACAACTGGGATCTACCATTTACGTGGAATTTTCCCACAAAGAACTTCAATGTAGGTAAAGTTTTTAAAAGAATTGATATTCTACATGATTTATCTCTACTAATTACTTCATGCTATAATTTCTTTTAATAATTTATATACATGGTTATAGATGAAGAAAACTAGGTTTGCTCTGAGTTCTAACTGGATCAGAAAAACATTGTGCCAAAGTTTCAACTTGAATCAATCCATGTTTTCTTTTTTCTTCCTCCCCCTTACTCTTCATCTTCCATTCTAATTCAAATAAAATCAAACTGATGAGCTTTCTCTATGAATCTCATCCAATATAATAGAGCAATCAATCACCAATCTAACAATTGCAAAGCAATCAGACAATAAAATTACTTACAAAAACTCTCTGTATAACATATCAAATCCAACTGTTGATCAGATCAAGAGGACAACAATTCAAATATAACTTTCGATTACAGCACCACAGGAAAATGTACACTAAACGAGCTTCAAAATCTAAATATAAACTAGTTTACAACTCAAATGAAATCTAACAAATTTGTTTTTTTGCAACCACCATATATATATATTTTTCATTTATTAGCAAATGAAATCTAAGAAAAAAATATATGAAAGACAATACATGAATTTTTTAAATTTTCTGAAAAATGTACCTGAGATAAAGAGCAAGATAGATCTAATCTGATTCAAACTCGATTTCGGATTTGCGTTTTGCAAACTCAAGATGGGAGCTAATAGCGAGAGAGATTGAGTTCGAGTTCGATTAGCCTCGAGATCGATGAAGAACAGAGATCGTTGCGATTGATGAAGAACAACTAGAACAAACCCATGGTGGAGATGTCCAGAGAGTGAGAGCTTGCGAAGAAGATGTCGACATGGCTGAAGCCCGGATCGCCGACGAGGCTGGTAGTCCTTGAAAGCTTCAGCTATGGTGGAAGAGAAGAGGGAGGAGAAGAGCCAACAAGAGGACCAAACACACTGATTCAATTTTGTTTCCCCTTCTAACCGGTGTAGCCGGTTGCCTATTTGAGAGTTCAATTATTTAAGTAATTTAGTTATGATCTGGTTATGAGATAATATGGTATAAATAAGTAATTGAATATAACTAAGTATGACTCAATATGATAGTGATTATGACTAATATGATATTGGTTATGACATAAAATCATATAAGTTCATAACTAAATGTATGGTACATCTAAATGTAACACTGATTCAATTTTGTTTCCCCTTCTAACCGGTGTAGCCGGTTGCCTATTTGAGAGTTCAATTATTTAAGTAATTTAGTTATGCTCTGGTTATGAGATAATATAGTATAAATAACTAAATATAACTAAGTTATGACTCAATATGATAGTGGTTATGACTAATATGATATTAGTTATGATATAAAATCATATAAGTTCATAACTAAATATATGGTACATCTAAATGTACCATAGCATCACCCCTAATAACACTAACAAATATACCAGTAAATGTATCAAATAAGCCACAAGACTCCATATAAGTTTTACCACTCGACCTGTAGCCTAACTAATATATTATCTAGTTGATATATATTTGTTGCTACGTTTGTTAGTGTCCTAACATGATTGCAAATCATTGGCCAAAAATAAAATAAACACTATTGCAAATAGAAAGTGTTCATTCCAACGCGAAAGGCCCATCAAAATAAAATATTTGGTGGCTCCACATTAGCAAAATTTGTTTTGTTCCCTAGAGTCTTTTTTTTTTTTCATTAAAAAATTAGTGATAAATCTAATCTAAAAAAGATGTAAGGCATTAGATTCAGTGAATATTTTTTATTAGTGAGAAGTCTATGTTTTATGAAATAATTTAGTGAGAAATCTCAAAAGACATTTTGTTTCAAGTTTTACTCAACTTTTTTTTTATCTATTTGACTTTTCATTGACTATTTGTTCAAATTTTTTGTTTATCTGCTCAAATTCATATCTACTTGCTCAAATTTTTTAACTATCTATTCAATTTTTTTCATAAATTATATCTATCTATTCAATTTTTTTTTTCAAAATTATATTTAACTGTTCAATTTTTTCTCCTAAATTCTATCTATCTATTCAATTTTTTTTTTATATCTGTTGAAAATTTATGTCAACATTTTTGTTTATCTGTTGCAATCATCAACATCAACATTAATTTTTTTTTTCAGATCTGTCTCATACATGCACACACTCGCAGATATACATATATATGACCCAACCCAACTCACCAAATTCTATTCTATCTATTTGTAAAAAATAAATAAATAAATAAAAATCTATATGTTCAAATTGGGCCTTGTTTAGTTTGTTCTTCAGAAAAATTTTTGAAAAAAATTCTCTACAAATAAATTTTAAAGAGTAATCAAACCAAACAAATTTTTCTAAAAAAAATCTCAAAATTTTATTTGATTACCTACTTTCCAAAATCACACTCTCTCTTATACACATCAAATCAATTACTTTTTTTTAAAACTCTCTCTCCAAAACAATTTCTAAAACCATTTTTAAAAAATGCAATCCAAACAAATTTTCGTATTTTATATCTCAAAAACTACTCTACAAACACAAACCAAACACAACCGATCTCTCTCCCTATATGTTGCAATCTGCTTCTTTTTCATCTATCATCATCAACAACAACAACAACAATAACAAAAAATAACAAAACAAATTTAAAAAAATTCAAACATAGGTTAAAATCTCTCTTCTCTCACCTTATCTGTTGCAATCTTCTTCTTTATCATCATCAACAACAACAACAACAAAAAGAAAAAATTTAAAAATTCTCAAATCTCTGGGAAATAGAACAACAAAGAGATTACAGTTTCTTACCCAAACACCCCCTCTTTCTGTCACCAATCAAATGTTAGGGTTAGGGTTTTCAAATGTGCAAGAGGTTTTTCAGCTCCGGTGGTTGGGACAAAGTGGGAGGGATGGTGGTGGAAGATGTGGCGGCGGAGGCGAACTCAGAACTCAGATCTCGTAGTCCTCTAACTCCGATCTCTAGTCCGACGAGCTCACAAGCGTTGAAATCACCGCGACATCACCGTGAGCAGCAGTGACCTCTTGACCATTGCGACACTGTCGCAAACCCGTTGACCACCAGATCTTCGTTGTTCGACTTCAACACATTTGAGGGAAGAAGCGTTGCTCTATCGACTAGAAGACATCATTAATGGCGATGGAGCTGAGCTTTTGGGGATCGGAGAAGGAGAGAGTAAGAGAGACATAAAGAGAGAGAGCCAACTGACCACCGCGGAGGAAGGGACGGCGGGTGAGGAGTGGACGGCGGCAATCGACGAAGAGCTAGTGGAGTGTAGAGAGAGAGAGAGAGAGAGAGAGAGAATTTGTGGGTTGCCTGGTACGTTTGGTTTGTGTATAGCATATATATACCAGGGGTACTTTGGTTATTTTATCTAAACTTGTCCTTTTGGACAACATGTTGGAAAATTCTATTTTTACACATCAAGTTTCCTTACTCCACACATTTAATAAATTTTTTCAGAATCACAATTTTATCCTTTTAACAAAATTACCATCACACCCACATATCTCACAATTTTCTTCATACACATCTTACCCACCACCATCTCACCAGCCACTTCACCGTCGGTCATCGCCTTTCATGCCCAAACCTCAACCATACACAGGAAACTGATGACAACAACCGGAAAAAGTGTCATGAGATTCCTAGATGACAACGACATGAGATTCCCGGTGACAACCAATGCAAAAGTGATATTTTTGAAGTTCCAATGGAAAAAGTGTCAGTGGAACCTAAGGTTGAATTTAGCGAACAGATTGATCGAGAAGCTGATGAAGAAGCCAAACCAATTAGCATGTTAACTGAATCACCAGAGACACAAAAGCGTACATGACTTGGCCTTGAAGAACGATGACATAAATTTGTTGACAGCTAAGTTAGAAGAGAAATAGAAGGAACTAGAAGTTTTTCACCAAGAAAATGAGAGCCTAAAAGGTCAGCTCAATGAAGCAGCTTTAGAGATGTCAACAGGTCAAGCCAAGGAAAAGGAAATGACTTGGTTGAGCCAACTAGAACTTGATCTGGAAGAAAGTAGAGCCAATGAAGTCAAGTTGAAGGAGAAGCTTGAAGTTGTGAAAGAAGTGAATGAGGCGTTGGAAACTGAAATGAAGAAACTAAGAGTGTGTCACGCCCCCAAACCGCCCCTAGTAGTTTGGTGCCGTGATGGCCAGTAACCCGAGGTTACCGAAGGCCGACTTACAAAAATCACACACAATCAGAGTATGAAATATGGGGCTTACAAGAGCGGAAGCAAAATATACACATAAAACTGAGTAGTCCATGAGAGCCGTGCATAAGTCCAATGGAATGTCATACATCAAACATCTTTACAAGTCTTACAATTTAGATACAACAAGAATGAGATACCAAAATACATCCTGACCAAAAGGCTTCTCAAGCCGACATATGCCAAAACAAACAAAAGAAAACATAAGCCGAGAAGCATAATCTTCAAGACGATGCAAAACACAAATCCAAAACATGTCGGCTATGCGCCCAAAACACATCGGCAATCACGTCTAGGCCTCAATGCCTTCTTGTTCATCACCTACATATATATAGAGAGGGTGAGCTTGGATACTCAGTGAATGATACTAGAAATAAAGGTTTTGCATGATTGATATCCAAGATCTACTCCTTTACCCTGGAAAATGACCTCGGCTTGACTTGGGGTCTTCAATGTGACGTTCTTAGTAACACAATTAATGGATGCATGATTCGCCACTAACCAATCCATTCCCAATATAACATCGAAGTGAGTCATGTTTAATGGCATCAAATCAACTAACAATTCTACACTCTCAATCATAGCAATACACGCCCTATAAATGGATGTAACAATCATATTTCTCCCAGATGGAGTAGACACAGATAATACATAATCAAGGGGTTCTAATTCTCTATCCAACTTCTCGGCGAATATAGTGGACACAAATGAATGCGTAGAACCCGAATCAATCAATATGTGGCAAGACTAGAAAAGAAAGACTTAGGAATGAGTATATTCGAGAATGGGTAGGATTAGTACCGATAGAAGATAAGTTGAGAGAAAATAGATTGATATGGTTTGGTCATATACAACGGAGACCAACAGAGGTAGTAATGAAGAGATGCGATACCGTGACAGTAGATGGTAGTATGAGAGGAAGGGGTAGACCTAGAGTAATGTGGACTAGTATAGTAAATAGAGATACGAATCTCCTTAATTTGACTAACAAAATAACATTAGATAAAGTCGAGTAGAGAAGAATAATTCATACAGCCAACCCCATTTGATAGAACTTAAGGCTTGGCTTGGTTTGGTTTGGTTACATTAAATGGGCACAAGATTTTCTATCTTCAAATCCTTTTGTCTCAATTCACTCTTAGTCATTGAATTTTGCATGATCCTCCAACTGAAAGTACATTGGAACATAACGATAGACGAATTTGGAGACAGAAGACTCCTAGCCCTTAAAATTCACACAAAATTATTCACTAGTAGAGACGGAACTGTGTATAGACCTACAGGGGCCCTGGCCCCCCTGCTTTGCACAAGATGCTTTGCTATATATAGGTTCAACACACCAACTTCTCCTATCGGCCTCCTTTCATCTTATAATTTTAACTATTTTTTTTAACAATTCTTTATAATACAATAATAGTATAATATATAAAAAAATGTTATTATAAGAAATATATGATTTCTTTTTTCATGAAAGTTTAGAATATTTGTAGTGTTATGTGTAGTAAATGTCATAAGTAGTTAATTTATGATGTGCATCTCTAAAGTGAAAGTGAAAGTTATGACTTATTATAGTTACGTTATGAACAGTGTAGTGTAAATCTTACAAATTATTTGTGATGCAAAATGTTACAAACTATTTTGGTGACAGAAGTTGCAATTTGTTATGGTTAATATGCACCTTTTAAAGAGTGCAGACCATGATAATTCCCTAACATATTATGTTCTAAAATATATTTTTAATTATATTATTCACTTTATAAATGAAATTAAGTTCACCATTTTTGTATCTCATTAGCCCCATCATTATTTATCGCTACTACAATATAAAAACTCTCATTGATTAGTGATGCTATAACATAATATTAATGTTACATCAAATATTTAATAAAAATAAGAGTTTATCCGTTTTCACTTAATAGCATGAAAAATCACAGTTGTTTATTATATGAAAATTCATTGCTTTAAATCTAACCTCACTTATCTTCCTATGTTTGTTTTTGGCGCCCCAATGATCGAATTCTGGGTCCGTCCCTGATCTCAGTTGTTAATTGAATTGATCAGTTAACAATGTATTTGGTTAATCCTTTTGCTCCAATGGAAGTAGGGCCAGCCTTTAGGCAAAGACGAGCAATGCCGCTGTCTAGGGTCCATTGAAAGGGTTCCAAAATATTGACCCTCGTATTAAATCAAAAAAATAAAGTAAAATAACTTACTAATTTTACGTATTAGGTCACAAATAAAATAATAATACTAATAACACTAACAAATATACCAGTAAGGTCATGTTTGTTTGGGTGGACTGAATTAACATTCCCATGACTAATAGTCCTAAGACTACGAATCCGTTGGATTATGTATCATATTTTAACTAATAGTCAAGTTTAAAATAATTAGTCTCTACTTCAATTGTTTAACCAAATATCGGATTAATAATTTTATTGGACTATTAGTCCAATCCCAAACTCATGTCTACCCAAACAACCATGGCCTATATGTATCAAATAAGCCACAAGACTCCATATAAGTTTTACCACTTGACATGTAGCCTAACTAATATATTATCTAGTTGATATATATTTGTTGCTACGTTTGTTAGTGTCCTAACATGATTGCAAATCATTGGCCAAAAATAAAAAATAAAATAAACATTATTGCAAATAGAAAGTGTTCATTCCAACGCGAAAGGCCCATCAAAATAAAATATTTGATGGCTCCACATTAGCAAAATTTGTTTTGTGCCCTAGAGTCCTATTTTTTTTTCTTCAAAAAATTAGTGATAAATCCAATCTAAAAAAGATGTAAGACATTAGGTTTAGTGAATATTTTTTATTGGTGAGAAGTCTATGTTTTGTGAAATAGTTTGGTGAGAAGTCCCAGAAGACATTTTGTTTCCAATTTTACTCCTTAACTTTTTTTTTTATCTATTTGACTTTTCATTGACTATTTGTTCAAATTTATATCTATTTGTTCAAATTTTTTGTTTATCTGCTCAAATTCATATCTACTTGCTCAAATTTTTTAACTATCTGTTCAATTTTTTTCATAAATTATATCTATCTATTCAATTTTTTTTTTCAAAATTATATTTAACTGTTCAATTTTTTCTCCTAAATTTTATCTATCTATTCAATTTTTTTTATATCTGTTGAAAATTTATACCAACATTTTTGTTTATCTGTTGCAATCATCATCATCAGCATTAATTTTTTTATTCCAAATTTGTCTTATACATGCACACACTCACAGATATACATATATATGACCCAACCCAACTCACCAAATTCTATTCTATCTATTTGTAAAAAAAAAAAAATCTATATGTTCAAATCTCTCATTTCTCTCCCTATATATTGCAATCTGCTTCTTTTTTATCATCATCATCATCATCAACAACAACAACAACAACAACAATAACAAAAAACAATAAAACAAATTTAAAAAAATTCAAACATAGGTTAAAATCTCTCTTCTCTCACCTTATCTGTTGCAATCTTCTTCTTTATCATCATCATCAACAACAACAACAAAAAGAAAAAATTTAAAAATTCTCAAATCTCTGAGAAATACAACAACAAAGAACAATCTCGCAGTGAAATGAAGGTGATATTGGTTTCCCAAACTACAGTTTCTTACCCCATTTCTGTCACCAATCAAATGTTAGGGCTAGGGTTTTCAAATGTGCAAGAGGTTTTTCAGCTCCGGTGGTTGGGACAAAGTAAGAGGGATGGTGGTGGAAGATGTGGCGGCGGAGGCGAACTCAGAACTCAGATCTCATAGTCCTCTAACTTCAATCTCTAGTCCGACGAGCTCACAAGCGTTGAAATCACCGCGACACCGCCGCGAGCAGCAGTGACCTCTTGACTATTGCGACACTGTCGCAGACCTCTTGACCACCAGATCTTCGTTGTTCGACTTCAACACATTTGAGGGAAGAAGCGTTGCTCGATCGACTAGAAGACATCATTAATGGCGACGAAGCTGAGCTTTTGGGGATCGGAGAAGGAGAGAGTAAGAGAGACATAAAGAGAGAAAGCCAACTGACCACCGCGGAGGAAGGGACGGCGGGTGAGGAGTGGACGGCGGCAATCGACGAAGAGCTAGTAGAGT